TAAACTTACACTTTCATTCTAGCAAAAAGACACATGCAACTTTTTTAGTACCCTAATGTAGCTCAAATCCTTCAGCAGCAACTTTAAGTCTTAAATTAGCAGTTTTAAGGAACTGTGACTTTCCATAGATGGGCTCCAGATTATAAAACATTTCCTTAATCTTAACAGTTCTTTCAATTTCCAGTCTCTCTATGGGAAGGTATATAACTTAGAGAAACAGGTGTTCTTACATTTTTAAGTGCAGCTCAAAGGAATATAGTATTAAAAGTTATAAAAATGCAAATTTATTAAGTCCATCAAATACAGCACTTCCTTTGTAAGTTTCATATTAAACGTATAAAGGCACCAATACAGGACCTTCTGGATTAAACATTTACAGAGCAAGACAGCATCTGAGACAAAAGGTGTCCCGGCATTTTCTATGGTGTGTAGTCATGAAGACAGCGGCTTCCACTTCGTAGCTAAGAGAGACTCCATTTCCTTACTTGTGCCCTTCTGTAGAGGGCAATGACTAATAATCTACTTTAAAAGCAGAAATTCTGTATACATCACAGATACCCAGTACAAGCAGCCTAGAGCAGTGAAGCAGCCAGCAGAGGGACTGGCTTTAGTCAGACCCTCTTGCCAGTTCCTAACGGTTGATGTTACTCAACCTCACTAAACCTCAGTTATTTCACCAGTTAAAAAAAAAAAAGGATGATACCACTCACTTCACAGGATTGTTATAACAATCATTACCTCTTGTCTAGGGTTAAATCTCAGCACAGTGTCTGGCTAATAAAGGAATTAAAAAGTAAATTATCAATGCAATAATCATTCCTAGGGTAGTATTCAGCAAAAATATCTAGACTTAATCAGAATCACTGAGACCATGTTAGAAGGGACCCTAGAGATTTTCATTTTATGAAAGAAATTAGTTCCAAATAGGGAAAGTGACTTGTAGGTGGTAGAGGAAAATGGAGCACACACAAAATTTCAGAACAGAACTCTTTCCATTGTGTTCTTAGGCTTTAGAACTCCATCCTCTTATTTTACAGCTGTATAGTGACAAGATTTCAATTTTTAAAGAGTACCTTCCCAGGTGTAATGTGGATGAGATACAAAAGATGTGACAGAACTGTGTAAGAATGGATTTAAGAGGTTGTCCACCAGCCAATACTAGACCCATTCAACAGATCGTATCAGAAAATGGGTTTGAGTATATTGAAAACAGAGACATGCTCCTGAGGCCAAACATAGGCAAAAGTAAATGCAATGGCAGTAAGACCTCATTTGCTTTTCTGATAGGGTAGCACAAAAAACTTGAGCAGCAAAGCTTCATCAAAGGATTTCAGTCTGGCAGCTGACAATGTTAAGTAAATGTAATTGCATGTTTAATGTTTGTCTGAAATAATTGTTGATTCACTGGGGGAGAAAAGCCTATTTGTGGACAAAATATAAAAATGTAAAGTGGACAATAGCATGTCAAGTGGAAGAATAGATGCCTGAGCCCTGAATGCTCTTTCATGGTGTTATTGGGCAGACCCTTGTGTACTACAGCTATCTCTCATTACTTGCAAGAGAATCCAGACATAATATGTGTCACTTCTACTAAGGACCCAAAACTGGATGGAACAAAAAATATTCTGGATGAGTCAAGATTCTAAAATTTTGAAACTCTGGAATTAAATCCAGCAAGATACAAATTTTAGTAAGGATAAAAACAGGTAATTGGACTTTAAAAAATCAGACTCCGGGGAGATGTGGCCAAAACATCATATGCAGAAAAGACATGCTTTGTTAAATTCAAGTTCAGTGTGAGGTAGTACAATGTCCATCAAAAATGCATTTATTAGTGACTAGAATAAGGAAATCATTGCTACTACTCTGGCACATGTAGGCCTAGACACTTCACTTAAACTTCAAAGAGGGGGCGCCTGGGTGGCTCAGTTTGTTGAGCATCCAACTCTTGATTTCAGCTCAGGTCATGATCTCATGGGTCGTGGGATCCAGCCCCACTCAGCGTACGGCCTGTTTGAGATACTCTCTCTGCCCCTCCCCCTTGCTTGCTCATGCACTCTCTCTAAAAGAGAAGAAATAATTAAAATTTTAAAAATGAAATAAAATTTTGGGGTGCCTGGGTGGCACAGTCGGTTAAGCGCTGACTCGGTTTTGGCTCAGGTCATGATCTTGGGGTTGTGAGATTGAGCCCTGTGTCAGGCTCTGCACTCAGCGAGGAGTCTGCTTGAGACTCTCTCACCCTCTCCCTCTGCACCACCCCCCCGCTAAAATAAATAAATCTTAAAAAAAAAGAACATCAAAGAGACACATATGAAGAGACTGGGATGGTGAAGGTCTAGAACTCACAGGAGTAAAAGCTGACTGGAGAAGACGTGGGGGAACACGAGCTGCCTTTAAACATGGGAAGAGCTGCCCTTCAAGAGAGCAACTGGACAATTCTTTATGACTACAGAGATAAAAGTTACATCAATGAATAGAAGAGGAAGGCAGATTTCAGTCTAATAAACAAAAACCTCTTAATACCTGAAGATTTAAAGTTGGAAAAGGCTTCCTGGAAAGGCAATAAATTGCCATTTGGTAACAGCAAATGTTCAGGAAGACTGGTTATCTGTGGCCTGGGGGATAGGGGAAATTAGACAACTATGTTTGGGAAAAGATAAGATGAGAGGATTTCTAAGGTTCATTCAGTCCAAGCTTATATGAGTCAGGCAGAAAACTTCTTTAATTAAGAGCTGAAATCTTAGTGAGGCAAGTGATTATGAAATGAACCAAGTAAGATTAGGTTCAACAGGTTTGATCCTCAGTCATATCAGAGCCCAGAAACCTACAACCTTCCCTCCAGTATAGGAGCCACAGGCAGGGACAAAATCGGTATCTGTGCACACGTCATTCACTAATAGAGAGGCTACTCATGGGTACGCACTATACATTATCCATTCTCTGTCAGTATAGCATGATGCTGACAAAAAAGGTTAAATGGAATCAGTATGAAATAAGCAACAATTTCTGTAACAATGAGTGGTTTTGATATTGTTTTATTTCTTCCCAGCACATCTTAAAAATCACACATGGGCATTTGCTTATAGAACAGTACAGTCTAGGAAAAGCAATAAAAGGAGAATCCAAACATACACCAAAAGCACAGTATATAGACTATGTTTTGAGCCCTTGTGGAAAACAGTATGGCTCAGTTTGAACTGACAAAGCTGTGCTGAAATCTCTCAGGAACTTCCCTTCCCACTACATATCAACATTTAAACTATAAATGTAAAGAGAAGAACTGTTTGTACGCATTAGTTACAGCAATATAATGGCTTACATACAAGAGCTTACCCACATGTAGTTCCCAAAAGATTACTACAGTCCTGGCAGGAATATACACTGCCTTGGAGGAAGACTCAGGATAAGATATTATTCAAGTCAAGTTGTATCAGAGCCAAAGTATTTCACAGGCTTAGCAAAAAAGGACAAAAATTAAGAAATATAATCTACACATATTTCTCATAAGATTTATCATTGTCCAGGAACAGAAATACTCATTATTCTGAAGGCACCATCACAGAAAAAAAGACTGACACACAATATAAGGAATAGAACACCCCCCACCCCCCCCCACAGGCCCTGCTCCTCAGGGAGCTGTGTGAGCTAACATCCAAAAGCATGTAGTGGGTGTCTCAGGGACTGAATGAGTAGGCCACATCCACTAAGCCACATCTTAGGGCTACTAAGTTGGGACAATAGGAATGAAAATCTAAGAATGAAAGTACATATAAATCCCATCAACTGAATGGATATATGGAGTACAGGTCCACCATATAATCAGTGAAACAGACTAGATGATCCGAACCCACACTGTGGAAAGGATTTTCAGTATTTCTACATATAACTACTTAATTCCTGACATATTCTTGAAGAGGAATAGCCCTGAACTACTAAACAATCTCAGTCTTTAAAGACTTATTTATCCTCTCCCACTCATTTTAAACGATGGCTATTTCATGGGGGGGAAAAAAAAAACAAAAACCCCAACAAGGCACTGTGAACTTTTGGGGATATTCCTTACGAGGCCCAAAAAAATAATTATTTATAGAAACTGTATACCAGTACAAGCATTTCATGTCCTTTACGGATATGTGAACAAGATTACTTTAAGGGTTAAACAATAGGTTTCACTGGGTGCTCATGTTGTTCATGAGAACACTGCTAACAATAAGATGCCTGTTAGAAATCCACACTAAAACATTTTTCTTTTCCTTCTCTCTCCCTCTTAGATTTGGAAGTTCAGTCTCTGAAAAACGTTCTTAATGATATTTAATGTATTATTTTTCTTCCTTGTGGGAAAAAAAGGGTTCTAAAACAATCTCCTTTGGGAACCAAAAAAAGAAATCTTTTCATGTTCACAGAACTCAAGTTACTAATTCTGTGATGGTTCTTTGGCTTGAGTGTTCCATATATCAGTGGTCCTTACATTTGCTAAGGAATTGCTGTGGTTAGAAGAGCACAGTGCTCATTCTCTGAGGATCTTCCTAGGTTCAAACTGGAATGCTTCAGGTTCATGGGAGACTAAACACCTCCTAGGAATATAACACTGATTTAAAAAATAATTAGAGTGATAATATCTAGCTAACTATATTCTACAGGGGCTTGATTATGCATCATTAATAAAATTATAAAATTTTGTTTTCAAATCAGTGGAAATATGAAGATGAAAAACTAAAATTTAAAGAAAAAGGGGCACCAGGGTGGCTCAGTCAGTTGGGCGGCTGCCTTCAGCTCAGGTCATGGTCCCAGGGTCCTGGGATCGAGCCCCACATCGGGCTCCCTGCTCGGCGGGAACCCTGCTTCTCCCTCTCCCACTCCCCCTGCTTGTGTTCCCTCTCTTGCTGTGTCTCTCTCTGTCAGATAAATAAAATACTAAAAAAAAAAAAATTTTTGAAAGAAAAACCCATATGCAAACAGAACAATGAGCTTCCCACTCCCTTTAAAGAAAACAAAATCTCTTAGACCTGGGTGCATTTTATTAATAATATATTTTTCTGTAACCTGTTGTGTTACAAGTAGTTTTTTACAAATTCCACACTAAAGACAAACAGTGTGGTTTAGGAAGCAGAAAGCCAAGTAACTTACATCCTTCATAGCAGAAACTCTATTCGATAGTTAAAAAAATTCTTTTACATTTTCTGAATTTCAGCATCAATGTATACATTCTTTCCTTTTCAGGACACTGAAATTAATAACAATTCAATGAATATATTGACATATGGTTCATTTGGAGCCTTGAGCAAAGCCGCGCTTCCAATCACTCGTCAAGCCAAAGGTGATTCTGGATTCTTCAATCCGAAACTAGCACTTCTTATTTTCAGCTTTTCTCCCACCATGAGCTAAGCCCTAACTAAAAGCAAAGTTGCCAAAGATTAAGTGGTAAACGAAAAGCTATTAAAGCTGTCCTTAATGCCTGTCTCAGTGTTTCTTAAAACATAGAGACACTTTCCACAGCATTCCATTGTGGCTGCTTCAAGCACCAGCATATGCAGCTTGTGAATCAATCCATAAAAACTGTCTGTGTTCTACACTTACACAGAATAGATGCTCAACCACACCCAGCCCCATTTGAACAGCTGAGGTTACACACTTCAGCTTGGGACTACAGGGCTTCTTTGATCAGCTCTGGTTAAGAAGTTGTAGCTAAAAAAGGAAAGGACAAAGAAAAGTCTCTGGAGCCAGCATGCAGAAAGGCATTCTCAAAAATGTAAGCTAGGACTTAGCAGTTACTAAGAGAATATTCTGAAAACCAAGTTTCCTTGCAACCATCTGTATCTGACAGAGTATACACACTGATGGAAGCTCATCCTTTATTGCACTTTTGTTTTCCAAAATACATCAACACAACTACATTTACGAAGGCTTCCAGCTTCATAAATAACTCTTAAGTAATAGTACTAAATATGTAAGCATTTAGGAAGTAAACTCCCAATTCTTCCGAAGAGGAAAGAATTCAATCCTTTCTTTGTGGTAAAATGCTGGGCACAATAAGCATGTGGCTTCTACAGTTCTTACAAACTAAAAAAGCTCAAGTTACTCAGTATAAGACGAAATTCACTTATGCACTGTATTTTGCACCAAACATTAAGGCATCAGTCTCTACGGGTCAATAAAGCCTGTTCATATTGAGTCTTTACTATTCAATGCCACTTCTCACTAGCAGCAAGTTCCTAGTCCCACTAAAACCTCAACCCAAATGTGACATCAACAAATATTAGAAATATGACTAATTTAAGAAAGACAAGTCAATGTTTATGCTGTACTAAAAACCAAATAGGTTATGAGCTTTTAAAATTTCAAACAAACTTATTCAAAGTGAGTTTAAAAGCCTCACATAAACAATGTACTCCAGGCTTTAACTTTTATGAAGCCATTTTCAGATATTTCAGAAATATGAGGCAAGGTTTAAGTGCCTCTGTGCATAATCAAGAACCCAGTTCTCCACAGAAACTAAGTATATGCTGAGGTATCTCTCAGAAGCAGGTGTGAGAGTGGGGAAAAAGGCTTTCTGATTTACTAAATCAGAGTCAAACAGCACTGGTGTTGAGTGTTCATGTGTTTCAAAATAATCCCTGTAGAAATGATACCAAGAACAGAATGTAGTCATCACTATAAAATCAAGGTTGGGGAGTCCTGCATACATGGGAGAAGAAAAACCAAGACATAAATCACTAATTTCCGTAAGGTTCATGTAGAACAGTGAACACAACAATTTTCAGCTGTGACATTTATAGTTTCCTAATACCAAATACAGATTTCTGAGGCTGCTGAAATCTGAACTGCCTGGGAAAAAATGTTATAACAATCACGTGCAAAGGAATGGATCTGCTTATGAATCTGTAAATTTTATTTAAAAAAATTACTCAGAAACATGTATACACTCCAGTGAGATATTAGTACTGTATTAAATTTTACATTTTGATCACCAGTTAGAGAAATTACCTTCATGAATAGATAGATGCATTTTATAAAGCTGAGATTTTTATAATTCTAGAGGCAAGTGTAATTTCCTCATCAAGCATCCAACTATTTCAAATAGCAAGAGCTTTTAAAGCTAAGATCTGCTGGAAATTTTACAATTAAAAATAAATCACCAATGAAGAGAGGCAGCTTCTAATAAATAAATATTTAGTTTTTGTTATTAAACTGATATTTAATTTTGATTTGCTTACAGATTTTACTAGTTTGAGGCCAATTTTATTAAAAATTGTTTATCATTTTGAAGTCTCAAAAATACCATTTTGTCAATTTAAATTTTTACTTTTCTGGTTAAGTATACTTCAGATAAAAAAGGTATCAAACTGCCCAAAAATACTTTGGAGCCATTGCTACATAGACAGACAGTGTGTCCTTTTAAAGGATCGTGTGCACTTTGACTTACATTATCTGATCAAGTATTAATTTTAAAAAATTATCAAAAGTTAGGTATTGCATCAAGAAAAGAATCCATCCCAAAATGTGAATCATGAACCTTGACAGACAGTGATTCAAAGTAATCATTTCATTTATTTTAATATCCAGGTTTGAATGTAAAAATGTTTGCTAAATGTGATTAACGTTCTCCCTATTATTTAAGAAATATGATATTTCAAACTTTTGATTATGGCATGTGTATTAATACATTTTTTCAAAATTTAGGTTAAACCAGTAATTTTAAAAAGGCATTAAACCACTATTAAAAACTAAATTGAAACTTTACTTCTATATGAAAATTTATCATGTTGTTTGGGCTAATGAAAAAAAAATCTGTCATTGAAACTTGAGGTTTTCAAATTCAATAGTTAAACGGTAACTGTGTTTCGTTAGCCAAACGATTCTTTGAACTGGAGATATTAAGTGTAAGGAGGCTTCCTTCTTCTGTTTCTGTTGCAGCTTCTTCTGCATCTCAGCAACAAGAATGTGAAATCAGAAACATCAGGACTCTTAAGCTGAATAAAGGCATTCATTTCACGGTAAACCTGTTCTTCACATACAATGAGTGATAAGTCAGCTTTTCTTATACAACATATTATAAAGGAACTAGGATATAACAAGAGGTTATTTCAGTTATACACATACAACTCATACCTCAGTAGAAACAGAAACATGGAGAACAAAAACATGTCCCCTAACAACAATTTTTAGACTGATTTAAGGTTTTGTAACTGCATACTAATTTCAAAGAAAAATGTAGGCCAAGCACCTCACAGAACTGAAGGTATCCTAAATAACAGGTTGCCTATGTTCTTTCATGAGTACCCTCCTTAATGGCCTACTCACACTAGAATGTGTAATCACTCCTCAACGGAATCCTTCCCTTGATACCGGCTTCCCAGAAACGCCCTTTTAAAAAGAGGCTAGATAAGCAGTGGATGACGCCAAAATCTGCCTTTGTTCCCAAGGGGAAGCATCAATACAGACCAGCTGGCAGCATCTTCCTTTGAAATAACAACTAGCAGCCTTGTGCTGCCTGACTAAAATTTGAAATGACAACCAATTGGCGGTAAACTGATGCACCTACAATGAGAGAGATTTAGAAATACCATCTGTCAATCCATAGATGTAGAAACAAAACAAATACAGAATGAAACAACTTATTTTCAACCAAAAAAAATTTTTGCTGAAATACAGTCCATGATGTATTTGATTACCGGTATAACCGTAGTCGAAGACTTAAAAAAAAAAAAAAAAAGTGACATTTTTCGTAACAACAGTAATAGATTTATAAAAGGTTTTTGTTTCCAAAGATGTTATTGGGGTCCACATATTCCTTGACAGACTTCAGCATCCCAAAGCCGACATCAGAGATACTTTCCTTTAGCCACTGCTTCCGTAACTTGCCCACTGGAAAAACAAAATCAAAAATGCTTCAATATACACGATGATGCTAGGAACCAATCAATCTTGTGACCATGAATGAACAAACACTGTGTGATAAATGCTTTTATTCAAAAATGAGAAATGTTTTGCTTTATTTGATTTATTGAGCCCACCAGACTATCAAGCTCATTAAGCCCAATGTACTCCCAGGGGAAGCCTGAGCTCCACAGCGTCTCCTTTCTCTGTAAACTATGAAATGGAGATGAAGGAAGCTTGGGCTGAGACTGGGGCCCACTTTACAAAGAACAAAATGAGAAAAACATGCTTTTCAAAAGAACCCATCTCCTGTCTTAACCACCAAAACATGCCAAAGTTTCAGAGAAAATGAAGTTAACTAAAGAAAAACATCATCTCCAGATGAATTTTTTGGGATTATAGCAAAAATGGCAGGATATATACATCCATAAAACATTTTAATGCTTAAAATAATTAAGGAAATCTGAACCTTTAATGGGTTTAAGAAAAAAATGTGGTTATGAAACTTTCATTTGCATTTTATTTTCATATTACTTCTAAATAAATTTACATGTTCCCAAATAATGGTTATTTTCTTCTTACTGTTTTTCCAGAATTAGAGATTTTTTTAGGCACTAAATCCTAATCCAATTTAAACTTAATCTTCTACTTTTATACATTGTATAATGTTCCCCTTCTTTGTTTCTATCTCTTGCTAATTTGAGAATAATGAAGTAATATGATGATCCACAAATAAATTATCTTTTTAAGGGCACCCAAGGAAAAACAAACTTTCCTAAGTATAACTTTTATAAGAAAGGATATGTACTTAATCTGTAAAAAAAAATTTTGAAAGGTTAACTTGCTTTGGCATTAAGAAAAGCAAAGCAATATGCTAATTTATCTGTGGCAAAATGGATAAATCTTTTAATTTACAGATAGGCTTATTTGTATTTAGTACTTTTCAAATGTATTATTGTAATAATTGAATTCAAATGGTCATTTTCCACAAATGTTCATTAATGATCCAAAGTCATTAACAGTGATTTAATTGGCCAACTGAAATGGAAACCTTCTTTCATTAAAGTATTCAGCCTGTCATTCTAAAATGCAATCTCATTTATCAGGCTGCAGTGATACACTGCAGCATCTGCCACTTGGAACCTTAAATACCATTTCAGGCTCCACTCAAACCATCTTTGTGTCCAGTTCTCCAGGAAACTATCAAATTGTCATTAAAATTATAGCATGATTTCCTTAGAAAGCAAAGTATTTCTGCTTGACTTCTAGAAATAAAAAAGTCTGCTGGTATTAAGATGGGGAAAAATGAGATACAGCAGAAAAAAATCTTAAAATTCAAAAAGAAAAAACAAACAAACCATTTAAAAGAAGCTCTAAAACTGGAAGCCAAACAAAACAAATTCTTATTCATGAGCTCTCTACCATCAGAAAGATGTTCTACCTGGTCCTCCTACTATCTCTCTAAAGGACAACTCACCACAATGCTCTAGCCTTGGTTTTGTCATCTTCAAAGGGATTAGAATCTATGAACTCCTTCACCTCAAATAGCCTATGATTTTAAGCGTTCAAAAAAGTTGCAAATCAGTTATTTTCAGATTTGCTCCAAGGGATTAAAAAAAAAAAAAAAGCAACTACTCTGTGAGTGATAGAAGTCGCATTATTATAAGCTACCCACACTGAGGCAGCTCAAGAGAGGGGTGAAGAGCAGTCAATGCTAGTCTCCACTATTATCTGTAATATAGTTTCACTGAATGTGTCCTGTGGTTATGGATGTAATTGTCCTGAAAAGACTGCAAACAACTGCTCCAACAAGATGGAGCACATTAGAACCTCAGCAGGATGCCCAACAGCTAGCTTGTCTGCCTGGTTTTACACCTCTAGTAATAATGCAATTCCACAAGGAGCTGAACCATCGTCTGAGAAGCCACCCAACAGCCACTGCATATTTAATGAAGTTGCTCACCAAGCGCTAGAAAACAGAAGGTGTTTGGAGTGCATCATTAGTTCTGTCGGAAGGATAATTTACACATCTATCTTGTCAAATTTTCTATGGTTTATACTTTTACAATAATCAATCTAACATACATTTGATTAGTGAACTAGAAAGTAAAAAAAAGAAAAAAAAGCAGTACAGGCAAAATGGCTGTGGCCCTTCATAAACATATTTAATGAAAGAATTTAACCCCTTGATGGCAGAGGTCTGAGAGCTTCTTCCTTCAGTGATAACAGAATTTGAACTGAGGTCAGAAATCATGGCCTATATAATTAAAACAACCAGGAATCTTTTTAGTTTTGCTTAACAATTTAAGTCAGCTACACTGTAGGATAAATGTACAGACAGAAAACATAGTTTAAGTTAAAATGCTCAGCCTTTCAACCTTTTAAGACTGTTAGTAGAAATAGTCTTCATAAAATGCTAAAGACCCTTCAGTGGCTATCTCAGATGAATCAATAAATCAAAACAACAACAACAACAAAATACCAAAGACCGTAATCTCAAAGAGAAAGCACATTTCAAAGCAGAAGACTTTTATTCTAGAGCTAAACAATACTAATAATGTCCTTTGTACAATCCTTATTTGCACTGCTAGGCATTCAGAAATTAGCTGACTGTACTGGTCTGGATATGTGTAACACACATGTGCACAAGTACACGTGAGCCTAAAACATTTGTAGAGCTCATTTTACAAATGGAAGAAATGACACTCTGTCCTTTATGTAGCATGCCATATTTGGAGGAGGGGAGAATGGATAAGAATAGCAAATGACAGGCAGCCGAAGACTATTTCAGCGTCCCTTGTGTGTATTCACACAAGTTATTCATGACAAGACATATGTACATTCTTACCACTGAAGCTTATGCCTCTTTCTGAACCTGGATTATCTGACATGGAATATTCATGACTACTGACTCAACTATATTCTTTTGACTTCTGATTTTCCAGAAGTATAAACCTAGTCTGAGAGCTAACAATAGAGCTACAAAAAGCCAAGATAGGGACCTTGTACTTCACAATTCACAATTATCCTAAATACATGCAGGTATTTAAGAGTCTTAGATATATTTTTAAAGATACAAAAACTTGGGCGCCTGGGTTGCTCAGTCGGTTAAGCGTCTGCCTTTAGCTTAGGTCATGATCTCAGGGTCCTGGCATCAAGCCCCGCATCGGGCTCCCTGCTCAGCAGGGAGTTTGCTTGCCCTTCTCCCTCTACCCCTCCCCCCCGCTCGTTCTCTCTCTCTCTCACAAAAAAATAAATAAAATCTTAAAAAAAACAAAATACAAAAAATATAGACCAGCTAAGTGCTGAACATCATCAAAACTGATGGGAAAATTCTTTCTCTGCTTAAATTAAAAGTGGAATTCACCTTTTTACAATTTAATATCTAATGTATATACAGATTGAATAAAACAAGTATTTTATGTTCCTCAACAATATACAGTACATTTTTAAAAAATTACTTTTGGGGGCGCACAGGTGGCTCAGATGGTTAAGCGTCTGCCTTTGGCTCAGGTCATGATCCCAGGGTCCTGGGATCGAGTCCCGCATCGGGCTCCCTGCTCCTTGGGAGCCTGCTTCTCCCTCTGCCTCTCTCTCTCTCTCTCTCATGAATAAATAAATAAAATACTTTTTAAAAAAATTACTTTTGGAAGAGAGGAAATGGAAGCCTTTAGGGACAGTATTTGAAATCACAAGTTCAACAATCCCCTTTGGATGCTAACAGCTCCAAGAAAGAATGCATTTTGTGGTATGAATGACCAAACATGTACGGGGAGTACTGGGAGCGTTGGGTGTGAGAAATGTGGACATGGTAGCCAGCCTAGTCACCAAAAATTATCTGGAACTACTCTTTATGGTCTAAGGACTGAAGGCTTAGCAGAAGCTACCAAATAGTCCTGTTTTAAAAGGGATAAATCTGGGGTCTGCTAGCCAGAGCTCTTTTTAAAAAAGCTAGACAAATTAAAAACTTTTTGAATTATGAATTTGATTTTAAGATTGCAAGGATTATATGCTTATTTAAAAAACAAATTATGAAACAGACTGTACATTTAGAAGATTACCAGAGCTTTAGTAGAATTCAGCCAAAGCTAAAAGAACCTAACCATTATTATATAACAACTATATTTTGAAAGTTCTAGTTTGGGCATCCTGGATATCACTTTAGCACTATTCTATAGGTCAGATTTTAAAGAGAAAATCTAGACTTAGCTGCTTATATGAGTGATCTGAGCATTAACTTTGTGCATTAACTTTGTATTTCAAGTTTTTTTTTTTTAAAGATTTATTTATTTGCTAGAGAGAGAGAGAGAGAGTACAAGCAGGGGGAGGGGCAGAGGCAGAGGGAGAAGCAGACTCCCTGCTGAGCAGGGAGCCCGATGTGGGACTCGATCCCAGGACCCTGGGATCATAACCCGAGCTGAAGGCAGCTGCTTAACCGACTGAGCCACCCAGGCGTCCCTGTATTTCGTTTTAATTAATCCAACCAAACTACTGGTGGATTATGTAAGGGTCAGTGCTGGAAGATGTGTTGGAATCAGCCCAACAACCTCATGCCATTTGAGGTTCTGGCCCTATGAAACCTGTTAGGTACTGATGAGAACAGAGAACATAAGACAACTTCCACTCTGAGGTGATTTGACTGTGATGATGCTTCTTCAGAGGGAGGGTTTCAACATGAAAAGAGAGTGTAGTTGTCCATGTATTTGTGCTAGACAGCACATTTTTGTGTGTGTTTGTTTCTGGTAGAGGTACATGCTGAATGTTAGCCAACAGATCTCCAACAAGGGATGCTAACATGAGATGGGACTATGCCTATCCAAGAGTTTAGTTTAGTGCTTTGTGGATACTTAAAGTCATGCTTCCATTTCTTTTTCAGACATTTGACTTACTTTCTACTAATGAAACTTCCAATATTGAGATGACAAACGCATGGATACAAGAGGCTTTAACAAAGCAATTAAAATCTAATAGGATTTTTCTTTTATTAA